TATACATATATATATATAAAATTGATTTCAGAGAGGAAGGGAGAGGGAGAGAGAGAGATAGAAACATCAATGATGAGAAAGAATCATCGGTTGGCGACCTCCTGCATGCCCCCCACAGAAGCCCACAACCCGGACATGTGCCCTTGACTGGAATCAAATCCGGGACCCTTCAGACTGCAGGCTGATGCTCTACCACTGACCCAAACCAGCTAGGGCTGGACAATTACTTTAAATAAAATCTTTATTAGGGAGACTATTTCTGGCAGCCATAATCTGCTTTGACAGCTAAAGACGGGCGAAGGAGTGGCCCACAAGTGTCCAGTAGTATCTTATACCAGATTCCAAGGCCAGCCCTCTACTAGAGATCAGTTAGACCAAAAGGAAGAAGTAAGAGATTGACAGGAATTATTTAGGGGTGTGGCTGGGCTAATGTGGAATAGAGTATAGTGGGATTTTTTTATTCCATAAGATGTCCAGTTATTCTCTGACCTCAGAGAACTCCAGAATTCTCACTATAGCCTAAAGTACTATTGGTTAACATGTCTTTCTAACTGAACAATTGCTATTTTGTGTTTGTTCTGTTTTAGAAAGCAAGTTAAAGCAGCCAGCATCAATTTCCATAGGTAGGAGAGGGAGAGAGGTATTTTCTTTGGATGTCCATCAAAATCAGGCCTCCATCAGGGACATGGTAGGACACAAAAGGGAGAGAGACCAGCAGGAACTGAGTTGTTTAGGGTTTAGTTTGGAGCTTGCAAAAATTGTTCTCAGCTAGAACAGACAAAAAGTATGGTTTTCTGTTTTATTCCAATGTATCCTGAATTTAAAAATTACCATAAAGTTCACAATAAAGCTCAGAATGTTATTGCTATCATATTATTCCTACTAGACAATTTACAGTTTGTATTTATTTTCTTTTAGAAAGTCCGCTTCAAGGAGCCATATTCTGTTATAAATGAGAAAGGGAGAGATGGCTTTTCTCTGACAGGTTATCCTAAAGTCCAGGACCAGGTGTGCATCAGAGATCAGGTAAAGCAGAATAAGAGAGAGATAAATGGGAAATAAAGTGCTGGGTTTTAGACATTCTCAATAACTGGTAATGTGAAGTGTAGTCAGGTGCAAAGGTCCCTGGTCTAATGAACTGTATCAGTCAAATCAGTTCTGTGATTCAGAAGGCTGATAAACCATGTTTAGATTCTTCTTTTTGTTGTTAATCCTCACTCGAGGATATCTTTTCATTGATTTTTAGAGAGAGTGGGAGGGAGGGGGAGAGACTGACAGAGAAACATTATGTGAGAGAGCCACATCAATTGGTTGCCTCTTGCATGTGCCCTCACTAGGACCGGGGATCGAACTTGTGACCAGGTATGTGCCTTTGACCGAAATTGAACCCGGGACCCTTCAGTCCACAGACTGATGCTCTATCCACTGACCCAAACCAGCTAGGGCTGGACAATTTACTTTAAAAAAAAAATCTTTATTAGAGGAACTATTTCTGGCAGCCATAATCTGCTTTGACAGCTCAAGTTGGGTGAATGTGTGGCCTACAAGTGTCCAAAAGTATCTTTTACCAGGTTCCAAGGCCAGCCCTCTACTAGAGATCAGTTAGACCAAAAGGAAGAAGAGATTGACAGGAATTACTTAGGGGTGTGGCTGGGCTAATGTGGAATAGAGTATAGTGTTTTTTTTATTCCATAAGATGTCCAGTTATTCTCTGACCTCAGAGAACTCCAGAATTCTCACTATAGCCTAAAGTACTATTGGTTAACATGTCTTTCTAACTGAACAATTGCTATTTTGTGTTTGTTCTGTTTTAGAAAGCAAGTTAAAGCAGCCAGCATCAATTTCCATAGGTAGGAGAGGGAGAGAGGTATTTTCTTTGGATGTCCATCAAAATCAGGCCTCCATCAGGGACATGGTAGGACACAAAAGGGAGAGAGACCAGCAGGAACTGAGTTGTTTAGGGTTTAGTTTGGAGCTTGCAAAAATTGTT